TTTGTCTATCTATATATATATATATATATATATATATATATATATATATATAGAGAGAGAGAGAGAGAGATATATATATATATTAATGATAAGTATTACCTGCATTACCATAAAACTCTGTTTGACTGGAGGTTTAGATGATTAACTGGGTGTTTATGATAAGAAGTACGTGGATGATCTTTTCAATGCAACATTGTCATTAAATATAACAAAATTATGTTAAGGCGCAAAAACCGGCTGGTCTCCATTTCCATAAATTAATATGTTCCTCGCTTCTTCTCATTGTTTGTCTGCTGTATTTTTGTTTTTGTTTTGATAATGCAGATTGATTTCTTCTGCTAAACTTTGCACCTAAGATGCATTCAGGTTGAGGTACTTTGGTTCCTAGTTTGTGAAAGGAAAGGCAGTATACTTGCTCATCTGGCAGTAGTTCTTACAAACAAATGTGGGTCAGGCAAAACTACAAATGTAAAGGGCTGGTGGATGCTGTTCAAATCAAAGAAATAAATAGGACCAAAAGAGGACTTTTTGTGAGATGAAAGCAGATTAAGTTTGTTCCCTCATTCATACAGTGGATTAGCTTGAAGCTGGTTAAATATCTTGCACTAGATTTGCAAGTACATTTAGGAATTTTTTTTTTTGTTTTCTGTGCATTCACAGTGTCCCCACGGCTGCTGAGGAAAGCCGGACGTCCGAGGATGCGTGCAGTCGCCCTCACCCCGCTAGGAGGGGCAGTCCCAGAGACCCAGGAGGTGTTTCCCACCCTGCAGACGGAGGTGTGGAGTTGGGGCGACTGTGAGCACGGACAGCTGGGTCATGGAGACAGTCTGGCCAGGTAGGAGGAAGTGTCTCCGTACTGCATCTGACCTTTCTGATAGGATGTCTGATCTGAATTTAAAAAAAAACAGTGGTATGAAAAGAAGGGATGAGAAAGGAAAAAGCATGTGAGAGCATGAGACTAAGAAGGAAAAATCACACATTTTGGCAGATGAGAAACAAAAAGCTTGTTTTATACTTTTGAATACTTTTTTTTTTAATTAACCAGTTACAAACATTACTGCGGGCCACCAAAAGATGTTTATAACAGCAGTGTGATTTGTCTGTTTGCAGATTACAGCCGCAGTGCATCAAGAGTCTGAACAAAAAGGAGGTGGTGCGGGTGGCAGCCGGCGCTCATCATTCCCTCGCTCTGACCGCTCAGTCTCAGGTCAGTCAGTGGCTTCAGTCTCTGTTCTTTTACCTGTTAGCTGGAGGAAGAAGTTGAATGATTTTTGCCTCTACAGGTTTTCTCATCCATGTGTAATAACAAAAACTGACTTCCTCACTGTTACTGTGGAGTTTGAGAACAAAAAAGGTTTTAGTGATCAACAACATTAAAAACCATTGCATCACTCATTGAAGGGGGATAGTCAATACCACCATATTTATTTACAAAATCTTTCTTTTATAACATAGACAAACTTATAACTGCCTTCATTTGAAATTGGAAGCCCCCCAGAATAACAAATAAGATGCTACAGAAACAACAAAAACAGAGCGGTTTAGGCTTGTCCAATCTGGTTACTATTACTGGATATTTTATTTGGAAAGAAAATTAATTTGGGTAACGGCCCTAATGCCTATAACGCCCAACTAATTTTATGATGTCAATGCTCTACACCTGTGTTTGTGTGTGTGTGTGTGTGTGTGTGTGTGTTGCCTCTCAGGTGTTTTCATGGGGAAGTAACAGCTGTGGTCAGCTTGGACACATGGACTCACCCAGCACTGTTCCCCGCCTTGCAAAGGTGAGAAAAGCCCTCCTGTACCAACATAAACTCAGAGACATGGTAATCCTTGAAGTTTTATCACTCCTGTTCCTCTGCTTTCAGATGTCAGAGGGAATCAGGGTGTGGGATGTAAGTGCTGGAGAGAGACACACCCTCCTGCTCGCCGACGGAGACTGCATCCAGCCCATCATTTATTACAGCGGACAGCAGGTGAAAGAGGGGGCGGAAGAGAGCCACGCCAAGGACCTGGGTCAGCAGGAAGAAGAAGAGAAAGAGGAGCAGCAGTCGGGCACCCAGCAGCCTGTACTACTACCCTTCTGCATGAACGTAAGGACAATGTACCTGGTAGATTTTTTACAGGTTCTGAGACAGTAAGGTCTAAAATACAGTATAAGAAATTTGTACAATAAAAATAAAAGTAAACAAAAACTTGAAATGGCTAAACATAAGCAGCTGCACATGATCTATGTGCTATTAAAATAATTCTAAATGATCCAAAATGTCATTTAGGTCAGGAACAGTCTTACTTAAGAATAAGTAAACAAGATACAATTCTAATCAGACATTCAATGCTTGCTTTCAGGCAGTTTTCATTCAGTACATAAAAGGTATTGATGTTCAATAGGCAAAGCAAATGATTCACAATAAATTTGTCTTTTAACATTAGGGATCATTTGATGATGCTTAATTAAGCACTTAAGCTCAATGTCTGAAGTGTGGAGGCTTTTTGAAGTGATTGCTCTGCATCAATCATTCGAGGAGGAGCCTTCAACACCACAAATATAATTGCCTATCTTAAACATACAATATGTCATTTCTGCCTGTAGTATTATTATTGTTATTATTATTATTTAGTATTATAATCCGGTCTATTGTACATATGTGTTTATTTTCATCCCGTTGTTTCCTGTGTGTTCCAGCTGCGTTATGTGAGCAATGTGTTTGCGGGCGGCCAGCGGTGTGTGGCGCTCTCAGACCGGAACGTGATGGGCTTCATCGCCAGCCTTCACGAGCTGGCGTCTGCAGAGAGGAAGTTTTACTGCAAACTATGTAACATCAAGACTCAGATTTTACGCCCCCTGCTGGAGCTGGGTAAGACAGACACATACATAAGGACAAAAACATTTCACAATGTTTAAATCAGCGCCTATTTCTAATTTGTTTCCGTTTGTGTGCCATCCTTCTCTAGATTCTCTGAGTTCAGCCCTCAGCCAGGTAGCCCTTGGGCTCCTGCAGACTCTGGCGGGCCGATTCAGCCTCTTGTGTCACCTAACCGGGCAGCATGCCGCCAGCCTCACTGCCAACCTGCGCCGGGGCCGCGATGTCAAGAGCCTGCTCATCCTAGACTACGCTGACATCTTCCTCGACTCTTACCACGAGTACGTCTTCACCATCACGAACAATAAGGATGAGCCTAGTATTTGAATATTTGTAGGTGTTGAAACAAAACTTTACACACTTGTCTTTTCATCAAGGTACTGCAGCACTGTGGGCAACTTCCAGGTGATGGGAGGTTTCCAGACCCTGACCAAACCCTCACTGTAAGCACACACAAACTTTACGCAAACTATAATAAGGTGCTGTGACCCAATATTACAGTGACTATTCACGAATGTGAAAAAGCAACTGACCAACAATTTTTTTATTTTTTATTTTTTAAGGGATTTCTTTGGGAAGAGTCCTGAGCTGCTTCAGAAGCTGTCAGAGTGCAGCGAGGAGAACCCCACCATGGCTGACCTCCTGGTGGCGCTCTTCTACCTCCCAACTCGCCACCTTCACGAATACGGCCGGCTGCTGCTCAAACTGGCCACCTGCTTTGAAGTGGTAGGTGAAACAAACAAGTCTGTTACAATTATTCGTATTATGGACTGGATTAAAAATGAACACACATCAAAAGCCAAATACAGGTAGATTTTCGCTTTGATAAAAAGTAAATCTTGGAAGGCTGTTTGCCACACTAAACATGAGTGTTTCAGATAAGATGCTGCTTTTTTGCTCTCCTGAAGGGGAAATTTAAGTATCTATACAGTGCAGCAAAATTTTGCGTCTCAAGCATATTAGTAGTAGTAAAAAAGTAGTAAAAAAAAAAAAGCTTGTCTGGTGAGTCAAGAAGTTCAATTTGGATACTTTATTTATTATTGTTGACCAGGGAGAGAAGATGGATAGATGATTTTGGTTTCTCATGTCAATGAAAACTTTTTTTTTTTACAGATTATAAACAAATCTTTTTTTTTACACTTTTGGTGTATTTATCTTGAATGTTTTATTGTTTTAATTTCTTTTGCTGAATCATATTCTCATTCCTCTCTTTGTTTTAATAGAAATATTTGTTTGCTTCCTAAGAATTTACAATTGCATCCTACTTCCTTTCTAGGAAATTATAGGAAAATTGGGTCAAATAAAATAAAGTCATCCAATATTTTTGTAGAAATATGAATTTTAAAGCATTAAAACTTTTTTGAAAGATTTAAATGTTTTCTAAAGGTTATTTCCATTGTTGAAATCTGTTAAAAAATCACAATCCATATTTCATGGTAAATATTATTATGTGTGTGTTGTTAGTGCTCCAGTGACTACCAGAAGCTGCAGGATAGCTGCTCCAAGTTTGAAGCTTTGGCCCTCCTGCTGAAGAGAAAAAGGAAGGACGCCGATTACACCTTCCATTTCTGGAAGAACTTCCCCGGAAAAATGACGGTAAAATTGCTGAGCGTGTGCGTTCCTTTACCATTACCACCAAGCGTATCATATTTAGACCTCGAGGTGTCACATGATGTCACATATTTAGCTGAATGGTGTCATTGTGTATCTTTAGGACTCACTGAGGAAGCCCCACCGCCGGCTCATCTGTGAGAGTAGCAACAAAGCTCTGACCCTGCAGAACGCCGGGAGGTTTTCCGTCAACTGGTTCATCCTTTTCAACGACGCTTTGGTCCATGCACAGGTCAGCTCCACACACACACTTTTTATCGTGTCCTTTCACTTTTATGAAGCTGTGCATATTTCAGACACTGTAACTTGGTGTGTTTCAAGCGTTTGTATGTGCTTGCCTCCGTGCTGTCAGGGCGTGGCGCCTTGTAAAAATCTTGTAAGTATGCGTCTAGAAGCAAATGTCAGCACAGCAACCTGTACTCTCCCCTGACCCACCAACCTGTTTTTCTGTGTGTATGTGTATGAGTGTGTGTGACGGGTTTAGGGCTCTGTGTCATAGGATTCACAGTTAAAATTACGGCAGAGATATAATCTTTAACCTGTAGCGAGCATATAGATAAAATGCAATTACTTCCTTGTTCAGTTTTCTTTCTTAGTTCCTGTTTCTTTTCTTCCTTCATTCTTCCTTCCCATTTGCTTCCTTTCTTTCTTTATTTAAAGTTTTTAATTTCCTTTCTTTCTTTACTCCCTTTGTCTTTACTTTTCTTGCTTCCTTCCTTCCTTCTGTGCTTCCTTGCTTCTTCCCTTCCTTTCTGTACTTCCCTTTTTACACCTTCTTTACTTTGCTTCTTTCTTTTCCTTCTTTTCTTTCTTTACTTCCCTTTTAAATGTTTCCACCTGAATACAATGCTCACATGCAATATACTGTATATGTTCAACAAGTTATCTGTTGCTGTAATTCATTCTTTTTATACTGGCCATGATATTTTCCCCTCCTGTCAAGACTACATTGTAAAAAAAAGGGAGACAGTATTGATCTGTGCAACATTAGTTTAAGTTGCCAATCGTAGATATCTTCCTCATGGTCCTGTAGGTTGTGTATGTTTATTGTTACCAAAGCTCAAAAAGGAAACTCAAGAAGGGAATTTTGTACTGTAAGACCTTAACTGTGGAATATACCCACTTGATTTTGCTAACTTACTGTGCTGAAGCTCTCAGTTGAAGTTTACAAGGAGTTTACAGAACAGGGACTGTGAACATTTAAACTTGTTCTGAAACACTAACGTCATGATTAAAGGAGCATTAAATATGTCCAGTGATACCCAGCCCTATCCCCACCTTTGCCTTCTGCCTGCTGAGGGAGACTGCATGGAAGGATGAACCGACTGTAACCAAGGCTCAATGGATTTTCTCCATTTTAGGTCTAAAGACAGAATGAAGTCTTTGTAGCAACACATAATTAATATTTTGAGGCTATACCTCAAAAATACAGATTCTATTCTTTCAAATTTACCAACAGTGTTTGGTTCACTTATCCTGAGCAGTTTCCTTCCCTCTCCCTATTTGATTTTATGTCCAATCCTCCCTATCTCTTCCAGTCTGCAACAGTTCTATGGTTGTTCTGCACATTTTAGTCCTGCTCCTTGCTGACTGTGTGACGTTCTGTAATTGTTTGAAAGAAAAACAACTTCAGTCTTTGCTATTCACTTTCTATCTTAATTTTACTTAATTTTTACTTCCTTCTTTACTTTTTTCCCATTTTATGTCCTTTCTTTTGACTTTCTTCTTTACTTCCGTTTTTCTTTTTACTTCCCATTTGGTTCCTCCCCTTACTTCCTTCCATCTTTTTAACTTCTTTACTTCCTTTTTACTCCTTTTTTGTGTGAATGAGGAGCAAAGTGTTGGTGAAGAGCATGCATGCTTGATTCTTATCCTCTTTAAAAAACATGTCTTGCATGACTAAATCTGGCATAGCATAGGTAAATCTTCTTTCTGCACTTCCTTTTTAATTGTTTTTACTTCCTTTCTTTCTTTACTTCCCTCTGTACTTCCTTCTTTTCTTCCTTATTTCTCTATATAGTCTCTCTCCTTCCAGACTGTGTGAGGTTATGTCATTGTCAAGAAAAACAACTTCCTTCTATGCTTTCTTTTTACTTCCTTCTTGACTTTTCTTCTTTCTTCACTTCCTTTCTTTCTTTACTTCCACAATTCCTCATTACTTCCATTCTTTCTCTACTTTGTGCTTACTTTCCCTCTGTGCTTCTTGTTTACTTCTTTTTAAGATACCTCCAACCATATATATAGGCCTGAAATGATTGGAAATTGTCTGAAATGTAAACCGTAAACCAACTAAATCAGAGCAGGAGTATGCTGCTTGTAGAGGAGGTGCATGTGTATTGTTTGCCTACTGAATGTGTGAGTCTCTCCAGAGAGCAGTCGGTGTTAGAAATTAGACTTACCATTCGTTTTTCTCTGTCACTGTTTACTTCCTTTTTACTTCATTCTTCCTATCAGTTGTCTGCTTGTATAATTGTTGCAATGTTATCTTTCTTGTTAATTATGAGCTTATAGAGAAGGCTGTAGTTCACCTCTTGTTTGTGGAGCACATCTTATACACAGTAATTGAGCTTGTATCACTGTCTCTGGGTGGTCAGATATGTTAATAAGATTTCCTGTTTCTTTCCCTTTCTAAACACTAATCTTTCCCTTTTTATTCTCTCCTATTTACTCATTTTTCCTTAATTCCCTTTTCAATTTCCCTCTTTCCTTTTACATCCTCCATGCTTGTTCCTCTCATCTCCTCCAGTTCTCCACCCATCACGTTTTCCCATTGGCCACGCTTTGGGTGGAACCGATCCCAGAGGAGAACAATGGCCTGTAAGTCACATTTTTACAGGTTTTCTGTGGAATAATACTGAAAGATAACTTTTCAAACAGTTCAGTCTTCAATGAAAATGACTATAAGATTACCCTAGCCCCTATTTTATATATTTTGTGCCTATTTTTGTACCTAGATATACCTAGGCTACGGTCAGGGCACACACGGTCCATTTTTGCTTTTGGTTGAGGCTGCAACTTTGTTGTCAAAGTTCACAAGTTGTACTTCACGTGAAGAAAAGAGACGAATTTGTGCATCTGTCACTGTGCCCTTGTTATACATTTATTTTGTATATTGCATACAAGATAGATATCCCCTGTATAATGTGTATAGCTGAATGCCATTTCCTTAATATATAATTTTGTGGTGTTTAGTAATTTAAATAGTTCTTAATCTGTTTCCTACCTGTGTCCTAACATGTGAATGTCACTGTCTCAGTCTTATTCTGCATTTACATGGATTCAGGCAGACAGTAGATGGCAAAGTGGGTATTGTTTTAGTAGTTCTTTTGTTTTGTTTTGCTTTTTTTTAGCTCCCTCACACAAGGAGAAAACATGGCCAATCTGGACAATGAGTAACTAATCATTTTGCTGCAACAACACTCAGAATTATATGATTAGAGCAAGAAAAGCTGCCATAAGGAGTTAATTGTGACATAAATCCAAAAACAATACAACATCATCACAGCAACATATCGTTTTGCCGTCCGTCCGTTTCATTGGACTGTTGGTTTGTTTTTCCTGTGCTGCCTAGAAGGTGTCTGTTGTTTCTCTGCCTGAAACCATATTAATGCAGAATGTTATTATTGTTCAGTACTGTATAGCCTATATTATTTGTTGTATATTATTGTTATATATTCCTTACTTCCTTGTTTACTTGTCATTTTTAGATTTTTTATTTTACTTCATTTTACTTCCTGCTTTTACTTTTCTTCCTTCTTTATTTCCTTTTTTAGCTTCTTTCTAATTTTCTTTCTGTCTTTACTTTCTGTACTTTCTTTCTTTCTTCTTTCTTTCTTTTTTTTGTGAGCCAATGTCTGGTGTAAATAGTGTTTATGTGTATCTGTGCAGATATGGGTTAAAGGTGATCACACCAGAAGAGACGTTCACCCTGCTGGCCTCCTCTCCCATGGAGAAGGTAGGTCTTTCAATGCTGCTTAAAACTGCGTTTACATTTGTTGCAACTCAAATAAACTGGACCTGGCTGTGTTATCATGTGCATTTCTTGGTTCGTAGGCCAAGTGGCTTCGCTCCATCAACCAGGCGGTTGACCAGGCCCTGAGTGGGGCAGGGCAAGACACTGCGTCAGTCAGCTCGGGGTCGGGGCAAAAGTTGGAGCCCCCCATCTCCAGGACAGCGTCCTACACTTTTTATAAGGACGGACGGCTGAAAGAGGCAACGTATGAAGGACGCTGGCTCGCCGGGAAGCCCAACGGCAGGTTGGATTCACACTCTCTGCCTTTCAATAGAATATTTAAAATATTGATCTTGATAAGTAATAATCTTTGGGATTAATTATGTTTTCAGGGGAGTGTTAAAATGGCCTGATGGGAGAATATACACAGGGACGTTCAAGAACGGACTGGAAGATGGGTGAGTGCTGGCCATCACATACGTCACTCTTTCATAAATCAGGTGATTTTTACCTGCTGTTTCTTCATCATTCTCATGTATTTATGTGTTTGTTTAGCTTTGGTGAGTTTGTCGCTCCCATTAAGACACTCAACAAGAACGACCACTATCAAGGTCACTGGAAAGATGGCAAGATGCACGGCCTGGGGACATACAGGTGAGTGTGTATGAAAATAATTGAGTTTAGGAACTTTATTGTCCATGTTGTGGGACAGGACAATGATGAGGATAACCAGCAGGAACACAGCATCAACAAAGAGTATAAAATACAAAAATCCAGTAAAAATAAAGTAAAGGTTTGTAAGAATAGAATAACTTTCCTCCCTTTCCTCCCTGTCTGCAGGTATGCTAGTGGAGAAGTTTACGATGGATCCTTCCAGGACAGCATGCGACACGGCCACGGCATTCTGCGCAGTGGCAAGCTCAATACCTCCTCCCCCAGTGTCTTTATTGGCCAGTGGCTGCAGGACAAAAAGACCGGCTATGGCGTCTTCGATGATATCACAAAGTACGCTCTGTTAGACATGTTTGTTTTGTGCAAGTTGCAACAACGATCTAATGAGATTGGACCTAGTAATGTTTTTCTTAATACAGACTAATCTAACTGTCTGTTTTCTGTCCAGGGGTGAGAAGTACATGGGTATGTGGCAGGACCACCTGCGGCAGGGCACCGGGGTCGTCGTCACTCAGTTTGGCCTGTACTATGAAGGAGCCTTCAAAGACAATAAGATGATGGTGAGCACTTCTGTATATGATTTTGCTCACATTTTGTGTGTGTGTTGTTATAACCAATAGAGTTTAGGAATGTTAAGACATATTGTGAGACAGTTAAATGTACAATATGTAATTTTCTCTCACATAAAAATGATAACAAAAGTTGGTCTTCACCATCATTGCTGTCAGTGCAGTCAGGGAGCCGAATTATCTACAGAGGTCTCCTCCTCTCCAAAACAAACCCATCCGGTGATTAAAAACGCTGAATAAAGCAGTTCCACAAAAAAATCTGGGTGTTTCAAGGCTGTTGGACAGACAAAGGACGTCCCAGAGGGGCTGCGAGCCGAGCAGCTGCTAACGTTAACTCAGCTTGATTCTCTGATAACTTAAGATCCAGACATCCGATAACTAAAATCCTTCATCCGGTTCAAACATAGAGTTAAAAACCACCAAGATCTAAACAGTGGATGGTAAAAATCTGGATAAAAAGTCAATTCATGACACTGACTCATGCACAAAGGGGATATGATGCCATTGACAGGCGATCAGTGAAACATAGCGAAAAATGACAGATTTCTTTGAGTTTGAACATTGTTGAAAACATTTGTAAGTATACAACTCAACTACATAAAGAACATAGTTCTAGTGTTTATAGACATTTTAATGCATAAATGTTTCATATTATATCTTTAAAATCCCAATATATGTACTTTTTGTGTATATTATATTATTATATATACACAAAAAGTATTGTGTATACAGCTAGAAAAGCTTCAGATAAACAAGCTGGGGAAGAAATGGGAGAAATTAGGAGAAATTAAGGAACTGAAGGGAGGTATTTTCTATTTTATTAGGGCACTGGGATCCTCCTGTCAGAGGACGACACCACCTACGAGGGGGAATTCTCTGACGACTGGACCCTCAATGGAAAGGTGAATAATGAACATTCAGAGTTTTTATATTTAAGACTGCTATATGTTCTCCTGTCTGCCCAAATAAGTTTTGATATCTTTAAACACTGTATCAGTATTTTAAATGTATTTTATATTTTGTTTGATATTATTAAATTTTTAGTATTTGCATTTCTTGTGTCAAATGTTTTAGTCTTCACAATTGTACTGTTATTATTAGCTTGTCGATTAGCTTAAATTGATTAATTTAAAATTACAGATGCAACAATAATAATAAGAATATAACAATAAACTATATTGCTAAATGTAAGTAGAACGTGCATCAGTGTAGTTTAATTTACTGATTGGCTTTCCCTCAGGGCGTGCTTACCATGGCTAACGGTGACTACCTGGAGGGCTCCTTCAGTGGCGAATGGGGCTCTGGCCTCAAGGTGGCAGGGTCCTACTTCAAACCACACCTGTTCGACACTGACAAGGACAAGACCCGCCCTGTGTAAGCTCACAGAGTGTCTGAAATGTACAGGGAAACAAACCATAATTTACACTTTTTATTATGCTTCCATTACCTTTACACTTTATGTACTTTGTGTGTGATGTGGCAGGAAGCTGGGGCGTATGTGTGTGTGTGCGGAGGATAAGTGGCGGGCAGTGTTTGAGGAGTGTTGGAGTCAGCTGGGCTGCGAGGTGCCGGGCCAAGGTGATAACTGGAAGGCCTGGGAGAACATCGCCGTGGCCCTCACCACCAGCCGACGCCACATCCAGGACAGGTACATGTCTTTGAATTTTTCTGTTCACGAGTGAAAGTAGCCAAGTTACCAAATTATGGCTGACTTTAAAGGTCACTAACACTTGTAAGTGTTTTAACCCATTACTATTGAGATTTTCAATTTCTAATGTTTTAATGCATTTTGTGTGTGTCCCAGTCCGGAGATGTTGTCTCGAAGTCACAGCAGAACCTTGGAGAGTCTGGAGGTTATCCCGCAGCACGTTGGGCTGATCACCATGGAGAGGTATCACACCATCCGCCTCTACCTCCTCAAGGTAAACCCACCAAACACACTTTCAAAAACACATTTCACTAAGGTCAGCATAAACTCAAAGTTAGAATCCTTAAGATTTCAGTCCATTTGCGGTTACAGAAATGCAAGAAAAGAGCCGCTGGTGTATCTTGTTTACAGTACCGACAAACAAGCTGCCGTTGTTGAAATGAATTCATTACATAATAATTGCAGTTGTTGTAGCGATCTGATTTTGAGATTAGTGTTCCACACACACGCAACTAAGACACCACTCTAAACACACTTTTAATGTGAAGCAGCAGCTGCAGCAGTAGAAAATGTTTGGTGTGCAGCAACTCTGATACAGAGTTATGAGAGTCAACAATAAACATTAAGGCTGTTATCAATGAGAGAAAATTATAAACAGTAGAGCAGGATTACATACATTTATTGTTTCCATCATCCCTTTTGTGAGAATGGTGAAATCCACCACTGACAATGAAAACTAATGTATAGAGAAAAAAGTACAGAATACAGTAAGTAAGTACAGAGTTTGATTTTAACAAAATTTTAAGGGTTTTCACCCTGAAATATCTCTGGGAGGTTGAATGTACAGTTCTTCCAAAATCACAAATATTTTCCCTAAAGACCAATAGGATGATTGAATATTAGCATTTTATGTTCGTATTGGACTGAAAGCAGTGAGTTTAGGTCCATTCTGTGGTGATTGGTTGGTTTTTAAGATCACCTATTATGTGTAAACAGTGATATTGTATGATCAACATTTTCTTCAACAGTGGAAAAAAATATTTCCCCAATATTCTCTACTTCCTCCAGGCGTGTGACACCCCCCTCCACCCGCTGGGCCGGCTTGTTGAAACCCTCGTGGCTGTCTACCGCATGACCTACGTGGGCGTTGGAGCAAATCGTCGGCTGCTGCCTCAGGCGGTCAACGAGATCAAGTCTTACCTCAACCGCATCTTCCAAATTGTCAGGTAGTTCACATACAGGACAGTAACCATCTGCCCATGGCTTCATTGATGATGAATGTACAAAATGGATATAGATGGAGGGATTGATGCAGACTTTCTGTTGTTCATTTGTATGTAGGTTTCTATTTCCAGACCTGCCAGAAGAGGGTGGTCTAATTCCAGAGCCGACCACCAGCCTCCAGGACAAGAAGGAGCCAGGCTCAACCGATGCCCCGCTAGAGTCACCTAAACCTGGGTAAAGACCGTGCACTGTCCCCTTGAAGCTTTGGTGCTCCTCAGTGGTCAGTTGGATCACATTACCTTCTCCTGTGTGTCTCCTCAGCCGTGTGGTGAGCAGCTCGGCTCTGCTGCTTCCCGTCCTGCTGCCTCGTCTCTACCCGCCACTCTTTACCCTCTATGCTCTGGACAAGGAGAGAGAGGACGACGTCTACTGGGAGTGTGTCCTCCGCCTCAACAAGCAGCCTGACTTGGCACTGCTCGCCTTCCTGGGTGTTCAGCAGTATGTCACACACACAGGCCAATAATAAAAAAAAAAGATTCTTGCTTTATTTCATGTTTTGCAATAAAACAGTTACTCCCTCTGTTTTTCTTTCCCCCTACAGAAAGTTTTGGCCTGTTTCCATTTCCAACTCCATGCCTGCACTTGGGGAGAAGCAACCGGTATGGTTTAGTTTGAGAATTTGAGCAACAGATCCCTAAGTTTGGAAGCTTTCTAGATGTCATAAGTCTGCACAGCAGTTTATAATACTGCAAGATTTCACATTTTAAGTGATTAAGTTGTCCAACTATTTAATCTGTTGTCACATTGGTTGTGAGGTAGATGCCGGATCCCTCAGTATCCCCGGCTAACTCAACACAGCCTAATGTATCTTGTTCACTGAACCAAAAATAGAATAAATGAGACTTTCATTTATTCTATTTGATGATGAGTAGAAAGATGTAAACATTGTTTATTCTGGCCTGTGCGTCTCCTCCAGGTCCTCTCCAGCACCAAAGATGCCTGCTTTGCCTCTGCAGTGGAAACCCTACAACAGATCAGGTGCAGTTCTGTTAAACATCTGAAATAAGCGGCAATACATTTGATTGTTAAAACAAACTACAGTTTGAGCCAAAAATGTAACTGCAATAACAGAGGAGTAAACCCTTTGTTTGCACACAAAGTTCAGCGTGTGCCAGTGTTAATTTTGGCAGCTAATTTAGATTTATACTATATTCTTTGTGTATAACAGTAATTATATTATAGAGCAATTTTAAAATCCATGTTACAATGTGCTTCACAAAAGATAAGTCATAAGATCATCAGGTTTTAAAAGAAAATTTCAACGAGATAAAACAATACAAATATTTAAGGAAGTAAAAGACAGTAACAAGGTGGCAGTTTATGGGTTGGATTGGTTTGGATAATTGATGAAATTAACACTGAGGTGCAGCTTTATTTTCATAGTTCGATTAATGCATTTGTAACTCCTTTTGTGCTGCACACACATAAACTGTATAAATAAGAAAGAAAATAAGTGAAAATAAAATAGAAATTAGGTAATACATTCTGATCCTAAATAATGTTTCCTTGTTTGTTTGCAGCACAACTTTCACCCCATCAGACAAGTTGCAGGTGATCCAACTCACCTTTGAGGAGATCACGCAGGAGGTTCAGTCGCTCCTCAAGCAGGACTTCTTGTGGTCGATGGACGACCTTTTCCCTGTCTTCCTCTACGTGGTGCTGCGTGCACGGTCAGCCCCAAACCAAACACAATCAAACACTCATACGCACATTTACACACATGTTATGATGATGAGGTGACAGAGAGCTTATTCTCTTATTGTAGATCAAGAGTGAATGTTGATAGAAATGAAAGTTGTTTTGGAGCACAAAGTGTGAGCTCGGAGGTAACACCTGCTTTAACCAAACAATTAAAAAGAACTCAACAAACTTTGTATTAAATGCTTTAAGTAGACAATTAATCAATTAGTCCATTGAAGGAAATTATTTGGCAATTATTGTCAATTTTAAAACAAAAATGCCAAACTTGATGCTTTTCTTTCTTGTACATATGCATTATTTATGTATGTATACATACATAACATAAACATAAAGTCTGACCAACAGCCTAATACGAAAAGATATTCATCTTTTCATATTAGGCTGTTGGTCAGATTTGAAGACATCCTTCATTTTGTAGAAATAATTAATAATCAGTTAATTGAAGTAAAATAAATAATAAAAATAATTGTTAATGCCCTAAAATTAATATAATTTGTTTTAGTTTTTTTTAGCAATGGAAATAAGGACAAATCTGGAAAAGTACAGAAATAAAGATTATTGCTCATTTCTGAAATGAATTGACAAAAAAAACATTTGTATATCCTTTTTAGGGGTGTAACGATTCACCAAATCCACGGTTCAGTTCAGACCTCGATTTTTGAGCCACGGTTCGGTTCATACCGCGGTTTTCCCCGTTTCCCCATTTTGCAGAGAAACAGAGAGAGAGATGTTATCTGATATTACATTAAGCGGATACGGCAGAAATCTTACATTACGGAGCGTCAGTGAAAAAACAAGTGGTACAAAATCCCAAAAGCACAACAGACTTTACAGCTGTTTTTTGTTTTGTTTCCTCAGAATTAGGAACTTGGGGTCAGAGGTCAGCCTCATCGAAGACCTGATGGACCCCTGCGTTCAGCACGGAGAGCATGGCATCATGTTCACCACACTTAAGGTAACACACACACGCATGACAATGCTTCATTTAACAGTGTACACTACAACTAACTAAAGTCATAAAATCAGAATGAATGAATTTCAAACCACACGAATCTGAGTTGAAGGTGGATGTTAATCTCACAAAACCGCACATATTACTGTAACGCGTGTTTTTTATTTGTGTTTCTTCTCTACCTGCAGGCTTGTTACTATCAAATCCAGCATGAGAAGATCACTTAAGGTGAGCGTGGCGTTACTTCCTCAGTGATCTGCGTGCTGCCACCCCACCTACCATCACAGCCAATCACGGGGGCCAGGGTCATCGAAGCTTCAGGGTGATGTGTGCAGCAGCCAATGGGAAGCAGAGGATCATATCAACAGGTTGCTGACAGCTTCATCTGCTGCTGTTATGCAGACAAGGCCACCTCCCCCTCTCTGTCTGACACCCACACACACTTTGGCCTTT